GTGAGTAACTATTTAGGCTGGCATGGTACACGAAGGGGTGGTGGTGGTGGTGTTGGAGCCACACCTCGCTTTACATATTGCAGCGGTCGGTACTCATTTCGGCTCAGTCATTCTAGGAGAGGCTCAGGACAAGTTTAGAAAGCACCAGCCACTGATGATGCACACCGCTGTGCTAACCACAGTGGTCCAGTGATAACCACTGCACCACGTATCTTTCCACGCACACACAGACTACACAAGGCGTACGTACGTACACACGTGCAGTGAACACAATCCGATGAATGTGTACAATGGTAAAACACCATGATTTCGAACGGCTCGCGTTTCTGTTTTTAATATATTTGTTATTGTTATCCTGAATATTTAATCGGTTAAAATACGGTAAAAAAATCGGTCATTTCAGCTGACGAGCCTTACTCAGGTGCAAAGGGTCTCAATGCATTCCGGACGAATTAAATATTCATTAAATTCATGTAGTTTAAATATTAAAGTCTATTAAAATTACAGTTACCCACTGTCTCTCTATTCAGGATAACAGAGGCAAAACGCAAAGGCCTAACATTTCATGGAACATCGGAACATACATCCCAATAGCGACACCGATGCAGCACAAACACTCAGCAGTAGCGAGCGCAGGGAACACGATCCCAGTGGTAATGATCAGTGGCACGTCGGTGGTGGGTCGCCGAGTGTAACTCCGCACGGAGACCGAGGCTGACCACATCACTCTTACAGCGTTACCCATTCACACACACGAGAGTGATTCCACTCAAAGATCAACGAGTGGAAGTGTATTTCTTCTAACACGAACAATGGGTTAGCGGTCTCATAACTTGCCGAAAGGTCGACTTCATTCATTTAGGATGGGGGGGGGGCAGTAGTGAGCACGCTGTGCTGTGAACTGGTCCTGGGCTCCCCACTTGACCAGTCCGCATTGTCCAGCATGGTGTAGTATGGTCAAGCCGCTCCTGTGACCAACACGATGCGTATACACCTTAATCCAGCGGTGGATTGACAAAGGGCAAAGTATCAGTCAATTGACCCCATTGGATTGTTGAAGTTGTACAGTGAGATGGCTATCACGGTACACGACGCACTGTCACGGTACACGACGCACCGTCACGGTACACGATGCACTGTTACGGTACACGATGCACTGTTACGGTACACGATGCACTGTACACGATGCACTGTTACGGTACACGACGCACCATCAAGGTACACGATGCACCGTTACGGTACACGATGCACCGTCACGGTACACGACACACCGTCACGGTACACGACGCACTGTCACAGTACACGACACACCGTCATGTCACACTTAAGAACTGTGGGACAGCAGCATTGTTGACTTTCACATTCCTATGACAGGGACCAATAGTATCCAGAGGAGAGCCACAGTTGACTGTCCAGCAATTTGTACATTTTTTCTTGGATAGACTGGGTCGAGCCTCAACTGGGAAATGGAACTGCCAAATTTTGTTCATGCCAGCCGGACTTCTTAATTTAGTGACATAGAACTGCAGTGACAGGAAATCTATCGACAACTGCTATCTCAGCAATTCATTCTTTGGAGAGTGTGTTTTATTGTTAAATCAAAGTTTTTCCTGCCCAAATGAGCATTGTGGCAGTGTTCATGTCCTGTTCACAGCACTGTGCCAGTAGCATGAATTCCACCTTCCCATGGCAAGGGCCAGTCCATCCATAGGAAATCACTGTTGACTTCCCTACAAAGCGGTACTCGTTGTACTGACCCTAGCGGGAGGGACGGATCGGCCGAGTCAACCCCCAAGCAGGGATTTGAACTAAAAAATCTTCCGATGGCGAGACACCCCCTCTGCCACTGAGCTACCAGCTGGCCTGGACCAAAGTCTTCAGGGACTCCTCCGCCAGCGCGGGGAGGCGTGTGGCCGCTCCCAGTGACCCGCTCGCTTCAAGCGTCATCTAGCCAACAGCGCAGCCTCACATTTAATCCGGAGACGGCAACGCACGGCCTTGATGATTAACCGGCGCACCACAACGGCTTCAAACGCACGCGCTTCCCACTATGAATATAGCCGTGCCGCTGCGTTAGTGCATGGGCGCTTTCGTGTACGGGTCACAGAGCTGGGCTCTTAATAAGGCCATGAGGAAATGAGCGCCTGAGTAGAGTTGCACGTGGAATTCTACAGGGTGTTTGAAAAAGATGGACCAAATTTCAAAGCAGTATATTTCACGATGGCAACATGTTACAATTACACAAAATGTTAAAAACGGTTTAATGAGTTTTCAAGTTTTACTAACCATTTTATAAATGCTCTATGTTCCCTTCACCTGCTGTACGGACAACATTGAGACGATAGTTGAATTCGTCTCAAACGCCTCTCTTCTCACGTTTTCCTCTGAGGTGCGTGGTCGCCCTGTGCTCTTCCCCTTACATAAACAGCAGCCCATTTCCTCAAATTGTCGCTACCAACGACGAATGCTCTTTGACATTGGCGGATCAATGCCAAAACGCCTTCGAAACGCACGCTGCTCCGCAATTACGGATTCAGTTTTTCTGAACTGCGGGGTCACCATCTTGCGAATGACTGAGGCTAGGGGCTGTTTGTGCGCTGGGAGAGGCATCGAGCGGTAATCATTTGAAACTCTATGCTCCGCCCTCTCTATGCCCCGCCCTCTATATGCCCCGCCCTCTCTATGCCCCGCCCTTTCAAGTGGTAAGAGTTTCATTCATGGGCGGTTCGTGGTTGCAAAGATATAGCGATTTCAAATCGGGTCAGTCTCTTTCAAACACCCTGTATTGCATGATAGGGTAACCTACTTGGGAGGTTATGTTTATAACGTGGCACACAAGTGCTGTATGTGCCATTAAGAGGTAGTAATGGGCGGGACACGTGTGCTGGGTGGAGGAGCAGTCACTGGAGTGGCACCCAGAGGCCGGCGACCTCAGCCAACAGTGACAATTATCTGAACCAGTCCTGGGCCTCCCCTAGGTCGACTCAACCTCAAATTAGTACCTAGTGCGGTGTGTAAAAATCACCACTAGGGAGACAAAGGTGGCCGGGCGTGGTGCTGGCCACCCACCCCCTCGTGTACCGTTACGGCCTTCATAGGTGCTTGCTAACAGCACTTTCCCCAACAGTCTGTTAAGGCTTTGTCTTTTTGTATGTATTTTGAACTTCTTTTGCACCGTGCGTAGCCAACCAAATGGGGGAAGGACAACAAACGGAACTGCTTGTGTTTAGTTTGTTTTTCTTCCCCTGCACCACCAAAGAACACGGTTGACTACGTACGGTGTGAAAGAAGCTCAACATATATACATCCAAACAAGTGCAGATGTTCCTTCAGAAGGGTCACGTTTCGCAAGCATAGAGAAGGGAGGGCATAATTGTGGCCGCGAAGACTTAGATCTTCGTATGTAATGACAGGCTAGGTAGGACAACTAAACACTGGTGAGACTGTAAGAGCCGTCTTTGGAGGTCAGCTACAACAGCTATGGGATATGGCAGAATCATTGGCAAAGTGTGGTGGTGGCAACAACAGCACTGCTGGATATGACCTCGCAATTTAACATTCTGGTTATTATGATTTTTTTTTATCATGCTCGTTTACCCAGAAAAGCCTCACGGAGTCTCAAGGCTCTTTTCAGGAGGGTCCTGCCAAGTTTTTGTAGTAAGACGTGGTGCTGCTGTGTATAATATCTATTGTTTAATTTGCTGGTAAGTTTTCAGCATTGGGATGTTTTGGCCAATACCATTTACATTTTATGTTTTTCTTGCTATGGGAGGAAACAGGAAATTCTGGAGGGACCCATGCAGAACAGGGGGAGATCGTACAAACTCCACACTCAACTAAAACATATTTTTATTTTACCAGCTCAGGCCCATTGAGCTATATAGGTTTTTCAGAAGCGACCTGGCCACAAATGATCACTCAAAGAAGTGGCTTATCACGTGGAAATTTATAGCAGGCCAAATACTCTAAACAGCAAGACGCCCAAGTCGGTAAGTGAACGCAGGGGGGCCTTCTCGCTGCAGCCACCTTGCTTAGCTCTGGGATCCAGTGGACTGGACAGACTCGCCGCTCTCGGCGAGCTTCTCTCAACCTCGGAGCCAGCGACGGCGACGTCTGGTGGCGTCAACAAAACATTCATCACGATGACCTCTTGAACTTAAACGACAACAACAGAAGCGTCCGCGCTCCGGGACCCATTGATTTGAAAACGCGCACGCCACACGGTGACGTGCTTGGTGCCTGACGCATGTTCATTCCTGATCTTTGGGCCATGAGGAAATTGAAGTGCAAGTCAGTGTTGGTGCAAGCGTCGACACGGTGTTATGACTCGGCTCAAAACACAAAATCAATGTAACTCGAACGCGCACCGCAGTCCGTCACTCACGCCTGCATAAAAATAATAGTTGGCGGGGAGGGGGGGGATCCATTTACCCCACTCAAATCCGAGCGAGAAATTACGACGAGGCGCCGGCGTTACCAACCGCGCCACCAGAGACAGGCGGCTGTGAATAAGTACCTGCTGCGGCATACGGGCAAGCGCTGACCAGTGTCCAAATAATCCCCATGACACGAACGGCGTGGGGAGTCCCCTCATCCAGCAGCGGGTTAAGAAGGGCCACTCTGCTTGTGCGTGCCTCCCATAGGAACTACAAAAGGTGGCTGTGCGCGGTGATGGCCACACCGCCACCTCATCACACCGTGTCAGCCTTATTAGGTGCTCATCAACTGCACTTTCCTCTACAGTCTGTATGACTATGTATGTATGTTGAACATCTTTCGCACCGTACGTAGCCAACCGTGCTAATCAAAGGTGCGGGGGAAAGACAACAAACTAAACACAAAAAACTGTTTTAAATAAATTCGTTTTCAATCTAGATCATTTAAAAGTGCATAGCTCAATCTTTGTTTTGCATGCATACAACTGTTGAATATTTCTGTAACTTACTTGCACTGTAAATTAATTACAATTATTTTGTCTGCAATTTTTGTTTCTTGTCATGTGATTGATTTAGCATTACAGTATATTTGCTTCACTGCTGTACTTTGATGCACGTGGTTGCTTTTGTCATGATGGTGACCCAGGTTACTCTTGCAAATTCTGGTCTCTTCAATGTCTCACTTGCAGGTTAAATAAACTAGACTCAAAATAAGGTCAAAAATGACTTCCTGCTCAAATGAGCACTGAGGTGGTGTTCGGCCCTAATTACAGTCCTATGGTGACAACTCCATAGTCCTATGGTGGGGGCGAGTCTGTCCATAGGACGACCACAGTTGGTTGTCCTATAAATAAACGATGGGCCAAGGCGGCCACCAACCAGAATTTGAATTTGCGACATTCCAATTGCGAGCCACCTGCTCTGCTGCTAAGCCACCTGCCTCAACTGGATGAAACGAGGAAGAGGTTCCGCAATGGTTCGTGGTGGCGAAGGGGGGAGGAGGCGTGCAGGGTTTGGCGTTGGCGTCGCAGCGCGTGGGTGTTCACGGCTCGGCGATGAGAGAGACCGTGGGGTCAGATATCGGTGGAGCATCTGGCTCAGGGATTATTGTGCAGGGTCAGCAGGGATTGAGACTGGGATCTGATTTCCACACCGACAAGCGAAATGAAAAAAGGGAACATAAAAATAAGAGTGACGTAAATTCTGACAACAAAACGTACCGGCTGCGGCGCTTTAGTGCCTAGAGTGGTGGCGGCAACAGTGAAACAGGCCACGAGTTCGCCCGACGCGCACACAAACACCGCACGTGGCACCGCGGCTCCTACGCAGCTGCGGCGCGGCCCGGCGGCGGCAGTTCGCTGGGCGACACGTCGGGGAGCCAGCGCGGCCAAAAACAAAGCAGGCCGAGAAAATGGCCCCCGTGGAGATGGAGTCACCAATTCAGCTGCTGCACGGGAGCAAGGCACGATTGCGGCATCGCGATCTTTAGGGATGGCGACGGCTTGGGTGAAGTCTGCATCCAGCAGTAGATCGTGGCTGACGATGATGATAACGACGATGAGGCCGTGTTTAGAACAAGATGAGCGGTGGATAGGTGTGGTTAATGGATTGGCTTGGTCGCACTGGAGGCAGAAGACGAGCATTTGGTTCCGAGTCTGGGTCGCTTGGGGACGAGGATTGGCTCGGCGCTGGCGAGGAGGAGGCGAGGAGGCAGCTCCAGCGTCAGACCCTGCACGACGACACGGAGAGCGGGAGGAACACAACACAAGTGAGAGGCACTCAGTGCGAGGGCTGAGAGCTAGGAGGCCAAGACGGTCAGACTCCCAGGATTGCCGTCTAGCCCTGGCAGCTTTAACAATCAATTCAACATCATCATCAGCCATGGTCAATCCACTGCTATATGAAGGCTTGCCCAAGCCATCGCCATCTCACGCGCTTCTGCGATGTAACACTCCACCCAGCACCTGCACACAAACTGTTTTCGTCGTTCCATCTCCTCGATGTAAGTCCTCTCGCACGCGTTCAATTCCTTGGCTGCTGCTCTGTCATTATTCTTGAACATCGGCCACGTCCCTTCTAGTGATGACGTGCCCTGTGCCTCGGCCCACTCACTTTTCTTCATGGTTTGGACGCTGCCTCTACCCTGCGTGTGTTCTCGAATCCACGTGCTCCTCTATCCTTCTCTCAAAGTAATTCCCAGCGTGTGCCTCTCCATTCTTCTCTGTGGACTTCTCAGTTTTTTGTTCAAAAATTTTCGGTCATGACCACGGTGTTTCTGAACCGTGTGTGACAAGCAGGCAGCACCAAGCACTGATTGAAAACTCTCTCTCCTCTAGGCCACATCGCTGTGCTAATTTTAATTGTGGAGTTCGGTTTTCTAAAAGCACTCCACCCTGCTCTCGTCCACCTCTTTATTTCGTCGTTTTGATTTCGGTCTTCAAGTCCAAAAAACAAAACAGTGATGTCGAAATGCAATCACACCTCATGCCGCTGCCCAGACGCAGTGGGCAGAGCCATGTTAAACAGACACGCGGTCAGTCATGGACAGAGTAAACAAAAGTTTAGAGCATGGGTTTCAACACGGACAGGGAGTCACCAGCATGGATGTCTGGGGGAATGGAGTTCCAGGCTATGAGAGGGCAACAGAGGCAAATAAGCGACCCCTCGCACTGAAAGTTGACTTGCGGCTTCAACGAAGCCCGGCCTGCTGGAGTGTGCAATGCCCCTTTGAGAAATCCACACAACTGTATTGGGGCTCGGTTGGGACTGTGAGCAGCCAGGCAAAAGTGTGCAGGCACCCACAGCTGCTCGGAGCCACGCGGTGCAGCCAGCGCAGAAGCGAGGAGACATGGGAGAGCTGTTCACAAGAGTAAGGAGATGAGATGGCAGAGATTTTGTGAAATACAAAAAGTGTAGCCAAAAGACAACTGAGTTGGATGTGGTAAGAGAGATGTAGATTAGAAAGACTTGAGAAGGATTAATTGGCTTTAATGGGTGTATTAAATTATTGAATTGAGCTGATCTTTGATGCGCCCATATTTTCTCATGAGTCTGGGTCGCCTGAGGCTGCTTGGGACCACAACCCTTTGCTGAGTTTGCTTGCGCCTAGCACCGCCACAATCATCACCAAACGCGGGATGCAAATGAATAGAGACGGCTAACCGCGCTTCACCATACACAACTGGTCCGTGCAGTGGAAAATTGATTCTCGGGCGAGCCTGCTTATATATGATCGCTTTATTTATTCCTGTAATGTTATTATTATTCCGGCTGGGTGGCTCTGTGGTACAGCGCTTGGAAGGTCGCAGCTTCAAATCGTGGAGCTGACTAAGCCCATCAAATTCATCGTCGTCATCATCATCGTCATATTATTCATCATCGTCGTCATCATCATATTCATCATCGTCATCATCCACCTTTCGAGGGTCTTCAAACCGAGTGCCACTTTGTGGAGTGTCAACAGTAGTTGTCCCATGGATAGTCTGCACCCTGCCATCGGAACGCGGCTTTTTCCACCACAGGTTCAGGGCTGCTAATGACACTACTATGACTACACACACACCGTACGCTTCGGCACGGGGACGTTCTGTGTTATGATTTAAAAAAATCAAAGCAGGATTTGGTAAAGAACTTCCCGTGAATCCTGCTGCTGCAGCCTCCCCACCCACCCAATTGTGTACATACAGCCTGGTCTCCAATAACGCCGCGTGGTGTTTTCAAAACGCGAATTGGATACAACGCGATTAATGTACGAGGCACAATGTTTGTATGACGCGGATGCGAACTGGACATAACGGGATTGAGTGAACGGAACTACGTCGTGCAAGTAGGAATAAGCAGTCGTACGGCTGCCGTGGCATAGCAACACACAAGGCGGGATGCTGCTGGATGCATCTAGATGCTACCCAAACGCATCAGTCTTTGTTCATCCTGCATACGCATCTGACGTGTTATTGCGGACTGTGCTTAACCCCACATCATGCATTATTTATTATAACGCGATTTTTACACAATGCTGTGTTCTTCAAGAACGCAACTGCCACCACGTTATCGGAGAGGAGTTGCACCAGCAAGTCAACCAATACTCAACGTTTTAAAACGATATTCAAGCCACGAGAAAGGGACGCCCCCCCCCCCCCCATGCCATCTCCTGCTGGCCATGGCCAGTCGGCATGGCCAGCATCACGAGCGTAGCCCGGCAAACAAATTCAGTTCCTGCTCGAGATTTGTATTCCCTTCATAGTATATACAGTAAATCCTTCGATTGCGAGCATAATTCGTTCCAGAAACGTGCTCGTAATCCAAAGCACTCGTATATCAAAGCGATAAGAATGGAAACTCAGATGATTCGTTCCACAACCCAAAAATACTGTATTCATATAAAAATGATTAATACAAAATACCTTTTTAGGTATGTATTATTTAGATTTAATATAAAGTAATCCAATTTATTAATTACATGTAATCGTGGCTGGTGTGAGGGAGACGAGAGAGAGGAGGAGGGTTATTGTGTAGGTCGACTTTCACTTGCAGTACAGTTACTAAAGAACAGTCACTACACTTGGACACAAAATACACACACACGTGGTCACAACACTATAGTACTGTAGTAAACAGTATACACGTGGTCACACTACTATAGTCCTGTAGTAAACAGTACACACGTGGTCACAACACTATAGTACTGTAGTTAACAGTATACACGTGGTCACAACACTATAGTACTGTAGTAAACAGTATACACGTGGTCACAACACTATAGTAAACAGTATACACGTGGTCACAACACTATAGTACTGTAGTAAACAGTATACACGTGGTCACAACACTATAGTACTATAGTAAACAGTATACACGTGGTCACAACATTATAGTACTGTAGTAAACAGTATACACGTGGTCACAACACTATAGTACTGTAGTAAACAGTACACACGTGGTCACAACACTATAGTACTGTAGTAAACAGTATACACGTGGTCACAACACTATAGTAAACAGTATACACGTGGTCACAACACTATAGTACTGTAGTAAACAGTATACACGTGGTCACAACACTATAGTACTATAGTAAACAGTATACACGTGGTCACAACACTATAGTACTGTAGTAAACAGTATACACGTGGTCACAACACTATAGTACTGTAGTAAACAGTACACACGTAGTCACAACACTATAGTACTGTAGTAAACAGTATACACGTGGTCACATTATAGTACTGTAGTAAACAGTATACACGTGGTCACAACACTATAGTACTGTAGTAAACAGTACACACGTGGTCACAACACTATAGTACTGTAGTAAACAGTAGACACGTGGTCACAACACTATAGTACTGTAGTAAACAGTATACACGTGGTCACAACACTATAGTACTATAGTAAACAGTATACACGTGGTCACAACACTATAGTACTGTAGTAAACAGTATACACGTGGTCACAACACTATAGTACTGTAGTAAACAGTACACACGTGGTCACAACACTATAGTACTGTAGTAAACAGTACACACGTGGTCACAACACTATAGTACTGTAGTAAACAGTATACACGTGGTCACAACACTATAGTACTATAGTAAACAGTATACACGTGGTCACATTATAGTACTGTAGTAAACAGTATACACGTGGTCACAACACTATAGTACTGTAGTAAACAGTACACACGTGGTCACAACACTATAGTACTGTAGTAAACAGTAGACACGTGGTCACAACACTATAGTACTGTAGTAAACAGTATACACGTGGTCACAACACTATAGTACTATAGTAAACAGTATACACGTGGTCACAACACTATAGTACTGTAGTAAACAGTATACACGTGGTCACAACACTATAGTACTGTAGTAAACAGTACACACGTGGTCACAACACTATAGTACTGTAGTAAACAGTACACACGTGGTCACAACACTATAGTACTGTAGTAAACAGTATACACGTGGTCACAACACTATAGTACTATAGTAAACAGTATACACGTGGTCACAACACTATAGTACTGTAGTAAACAGTATACACGTGGTCACAACACTATAGTACTGTAGTAAACAGGATACGCTCGCACGGATGTTGACTATACGAGTAAGGCACGCCGACTGAGACCGAGCATGGGAGATGATTACCCACAATCCCGCAGCGAGAGAGAGAAGAACCATTGGCTCAGTTGTGATCACGTGACGCTCGGCAGACAAAGCGTATACTGTGTACGTACTGCTCGTATTGCAAGACATCGCTCGTTTATCAAATTATTATTTATTTTGAATTTTAGCTCGTCTTGCAAAACACTCGCAGACCAAGTTACTCGCAATCCAAGGTTTCACTGTATTTTTATTTATTATTCATCCGTGCACTCACGACCAAATCGTCGTCTGTTATATGACCTGTTACCACAGCCACCCCCCAGCAATTCTGTACATACTGAACCCATACCAGAGCTTGCGGAGGAGGCTGGAGATCGGACGGGGACAACTCCAGCAAATAAAGAGTCCTCAGTGGAGTATTGCAGCTGAAAGCACCGCCAAAGTTCCAACCTATACAGGCAGACCTCGCTTAGCCCAACCCCCCAGAACAGTGATTCGTTATAGTGCTCTTTCTCTTGAATAAAATATTTGCAATTGCCCTATCCTCCTTCATCTCCCGTAACACTCTCAGAATCATGGGAAAGGGGGGAGGATGTCCCCCAACTGCCCCCCCCCAATGACAGGA